AACACTGATTATGGCTTCGGTGTTGGAAGATGTCGACTCAACGTCACTGGTGAGATGATTCAGGAGAACAATTTAAACATGTCTAGTTTGGCACTTTTTTGGACGAATAAGATTATTTAATGTGGTATTAGTGTAATATTTATTTATAAGTGACTCAGATGTTTGTGTCTCTACAGCAGTGAGGGATTTTCCTGAATCTGCGAGAAAACCTAAGGCATCAAACACAGAGAGTCGAGGAAGGATCGGCCTCTACTGTGGACTGACAGCAGCTCTGCTGCTTCTCTGCTGCTTTTCATTTATTTATTGTCTAAATAACAGGATTTCTACACAGAGTCGAGGGTTGGATGTCGGAAAACTTTGAGCTTATCAGATGAATAAGTGGAAACAGTTTGATCAACAATGTAAATGAAACTGTTAGAGGATTTGGTGGAAAGAGAATAATGAGCCACAATCTAGAGCTGATCCACAAAACAGTGTAGGAAACTCCTCTTCATGCTTATATTGTTCATTACTTCAACAGTAAACTTTTATCACACTGTCACTTATGGGAAAGGTAAGTGTTCTGCTTATTTGTTTTCTTATCTCATAAAAACTGTCAGACTGCAGTTGTGAGTTCAGGACGTTTAGGATTCTTTTTTTTTTTTAAACTTTTGCACACTGAACTTTAATGTTTTTAATTCTCATCCTGCAAACAATGATAAACTTTATCCATATGTTTGTATATATATCGTTTATGCCTATACAACATAGTGATTTTTTAACTAATATAGATTTATAATGTGAAATATTGTGTCACAGTGTTTATCATTCTGTATAGAATTATATAAATATTCAGAAAATAATCAAAAGCAGAAATATGGTTTGTTTCCACCATAAACCAACAGGTGGCGCTTCTTTGTCTTTTCTCTCTGTTAGAGTGTTGGATTTAAGGTAGAAAATTGAGCAGCTTCAGGTTTTTGAGCTGTCAGCATGTTTATATGTCAGTGAGTTACTTTGTTTTCTTGTGTTTACCTTTGTCGCCCTCATGTGGACATGTAATTGAATCAGCCAGTGGCGACGTTGAATTGTTGACCGATCAGTGGAACTACTGATGATGGACAAATTGCAGAAGTTTTCACTGAAAGCATCTCACCAATACAGAGACTGAGACACAAAAGCACAAGATTGACTGTCTTTACCACTTTCTCGAAGTAAAAGAAAATGGCTTGAGATAAAATAGAAAATGCTTCTTGTTGATGATAGAGAGCTCACAATATTCTGGATTTGAGTATAAAAATTCATTTTAGTTGTAACAATTTTTTTTAGTTTATGCTGATTTTTTTTTCTTCTTTTTGTTCATGATGAACTGATTCTGATACTGTGACATGATGGAGTAGGAAGCTGGGACTAATTTGCAGAAGGCTGAAATCAGTGAGGCGATATACAGACATACAGGTGAGGTCTGTGAACTGTGAGCAGTGAACATTGAGCATAACTTTGTTCTGTCACTTCAAAAATAAAATAAACATTTGGTTCACTTTGAGGGAAAACAA